GTCTTTGATAATGATACTTGTCCTCGTTGAGATGGGCGAATGTTGATACTTTTATTTATATATAATGCTCTGTTCTGATTATTATTATGTTATGTGCGGTATTGTATTGATTGTTGACGTCTGAGGTTTTGGTCTGTGAGTATCGTGCGTACAAGAAAATCAAATGCCTGATCTATTGTGTGTGTGTGTGTGTGTGTGTCTGTCTGTGTGTGTGTGTGTATGTAAGTGTGTGTGTGTGAGTGTGTGCGTCAGTGGGTGCGTGCTTGCGTGCGTGCGTGCGTGCGCGCGCGCATGCTAGACATGTGCGGTTGTATTTGTCCGTCGCTGCAATAGAGAGAGACAGACAGACAGACAGAGAGAGAGATAGAGACAGACAGACAGAAAGAGACAGAGAGAGAGAAAGAAAGAGAGGGGGGATTGAAAATTGTACAAAGAAATTCAATCTTCGTGAGACACTATATTTTCACTTTGTAGTGGTGTGCTAATGTTTCTGTGTGACCCTATTGTCTTGTGGAAGTTTTCTCGGATTGTGCAAGTGATTTTTTTTCTGTTCTTTTCCGTGGGGGCGGGGGGAGTAAGTTTTTTTGTTTGTTTGTTTGTTTGTTTTCAAATGGTAATTACGGACTTGGGTAATAATATCTGTTTGCATAAATGTGTCTACTGTTACTTCAGTTGCCTACATTTAGTTCCGTTCGGTGTAGAATTGGAAAAACACGGCTTCTCTCTTGTGCTACGGTCTTTTTTTATTTTCCACTTTTTTTTTCTTTTGGGGAGAGGGAGACGAACAGAATTTGTTCTCAAGATAATGACACTGGGAATAATAACTACCAATGAAACGTATTCCTACCCACCCACCCATCCCCCTATACCTCGTTGTAGAATTGGAAAAACACGGCTTCTCTCTTGTGCTACGGTCTTTTTTTATTTTCCACTTTTTTTTTCTTTTGGGGAGAGGGAGACGAACAGAATTTGTTCTCAAGATAATGACACTGGGAATAATAACTACCAATGAAACGTATTCCTACCCACCCACCCATCCCCCTATACCTCGTTGTAGAATTGGAAAAACACGGCTTCTCTCTTGTGCTACGGTCTTTTTTTATTTTCCACTTTTTTTTCTTTTGGGGAGAGGGAGACGAACAGAATCTGTTCTCAAGATAATGACACTGGGAATAATAACTACCAATGAAACTTATTCCTACCCACCCACCCATCCCCCTATACCTCGCTTCCCGTTTGTCGTCCAAGTCGCTATTTTTACCAACTGAAAATTTCTTTTCAACGCATATCGGTTTCCCCCAATGACGTCTTTGCGCACATCCGGTGCCTTGCGCCCCCCGCCCCTGCCCGACTTCTCCACTTTCTAGTCTTTGCCATCGATCCGCCTTCCAACAGTCCTGAAATAGGCTAATCCAGTTTTCACGACTGTAACTTGAATAAATGCGGGATTTTGATTTGGGTTCTGCTTTCAAAACGATCATGGGGGTAGGGGGGGGGGGGGACACAAAACAGATTTTGGTTCGGTTTATAGTCCTCCAGTTACAAGCGATAAAGAGTCATTCTGTGAGGAAGGCTTTGGCGAGCACTCTGATGTGGTTTACTCCGTCTTTCCTATCAAACATCTATCGTCGTTGTCTGTCTTCCATTTTGGTAACCCATCTTGGATAGACAACATAAAACTGTCCCCGTCGTTTGATGCAAGAAAAATGCTGAAATTATGCAAACGTAGCCCAAAAATGTGAAATTATGCGATTCTGTTAATTTTGACTAAGAATGGTAAAGGGAAATAATCAGAAATTATGCAAAAAATGATCAAATTTTGCTAAATTATGCGGGGGGCATAAAACCACGGGGGCAGATAAATACGAGGACAGAATGTGCAACGGCAGCTCGCGACCATGAAGGATGGAGGTTCATCACACGTCAACCTCTAAGTCAGAGGTGACACCACCACAACGAAAATGTAACCCATCTTATCTTCAGCACGTATATATGACATAATCGTGTTACAACTGCCGTCAAACTCGTACTAAAACTAAAACTATAGTCATATACTTGGAGTGAATTTTCGTCGCAAGTAATAGGAAACCCTGAGATTTTATATTATCCTAATTGAAAGAGCTGCATAGCTGACCTCGACGCTTAAGGGCAGCAGGGGATGTAAAAGTAAAGTAGAAATAAGTAACAGGTAATGTTCACTGACCCAGTTCCCGAGAGCCTCAAAATGACTTCTTTGTGCAGCAAAAAAAAAAAAAAAAAGTTGGAGACTTTCTTTTTATCTTTCTTTTGCACAGTTATGCTGTCAATTAATGGGCAGATTGAGACTATCAAAAAAGACTGGCGGAGACGCTAATGCTGTACCACCTTGATCTATTTGAAAATGTGGAGAAAGGGTTTCTTAAACAAATCCACGGAGACATTCTGCTTTCCCTGTTGCTTTTCGAGAAATATTTTTCAACTTTATGCAAACTGAGTGTCGCTCATCCCCTGTGTCGTATTTCGGTCAAGGCTGATATTAATACCATTTCTGTTCGCGTGTCTGTTTGTGCGTATGATTGTTCAATCCATGGTTTGCTCCATGTACAAAGGAAAATATATGTATCTATTTTAGCTTGCATAATGAAATCGTGTGCATGTTTGATGTCTGTCGATTTACATAGGCTGAACGTTATTTCCGAATGGAAATAGTATTTTCCGTGTGCAGACCTCTTAAAAAATGAAATAAACTTATGTAGTTTTAATGTTCGTAGTCATATATTGATATTGTGAGTGTACCAGCATTGTGGACATAGTGAAATACTCTGTGTGTGTGTGTGTGTGTGTGTGTGTGTGTGTGTGTGTGTGTGAAGTGTTTGAAAACATGATTATCGTTTGTAAAAAACACGATATTCTGTTTGTTGTCATGATATAGATTGTCTGGGGGATTTTATTTTGGTTTGTTGTTTGTCCCCTATTGCTGCTGTTCTTCGAAACATTCCACAGAATAAGTAAATGTGTGTATTCTGTGGAACGCGCTCGGTGTTTGGTCTCTGTTTTTGGAAGGAATTCGTTGGCGGGTGTGTTTGTTTTTTTAGGGGAGGGGGTTACCAACCAAGAGAATATTATAATGGCACGACTCCTAGCCTTCCCTCACCTCTCCCTACTTGTGTGATGGACGACGTTTTCGTAACAATGTAGTGTACTGAATGCCGAAGTGAACAAGGGTGTGTAGGGACAGAGAGAGAAAGGGAGAGAGAGAGAGAGAGAGAGAACGGCTGAAGTTTTTAGATGAGGTGCAAAGATACAAGTTAAAGGACGTGTCCTACACTTGATTGAGCTCTATTTTATTTCCATGTGAGCTCAGTTTCCCATACGACGTGTATTATCGGCGTTATAGGAAAGTAGTACATACAATCCCTTTTACTTTTAGTTTTAGTTGCGATAGTCTCCCCTCCATTGTTCTGCGTCGTTTTTACCAGTCTGCGTTTCTCTGTGGGCTTTGCGTGACGGTAATATAGGTCGTTGCTGCCGTAAAGCCCGAAAAGCCACAGTGCGGGACGCCCCTCGCACGAGTCCTGTCTATTTCTGAGACTGCCGATTGGCCTGACTGAGGTGGGTCCCGTACTTGAGATTGATTCGTGTTGTAAAAGTTCTTGTAGTAAAAGTTCCGGTCCCGGCCTAGCGACCTGATGCATCCCAGAAGTGTTCTCCTTTGGAAAAAACGCTTAATTGAGATTTCGTGGCGTGCTACAGTCGGAGGAAGGATTATGTGATTGAGGCTTATCCCCACGGCCAGAATAGGCGGAAGCTTAAATACAGAGGGGAAGTTGCTTGGGGTGGGGGAGGTCAATGGTTTGATGAATGCCGCTGTCTCTGATCCCCCCACGAGTCGCCTCACGAGCGCCCAATGATGACTTGATGTCGTGACGTGCGGTCGTTACAGGCTGAAACTCCAGGACGCCGGCTCTGCCGCGGAAACTGCCCATGATTGCTCCAGCCGAGAGGCACGGAGAGATTACGCCATGGCCCAGCCGCTGCCAGATGCCGTCAGATTCTGGTTTGGTCTGGGTTTAACACTTTTCTTCTAGGCACAAGTGGATTGCTTTGATTACTTTTATTGAGAAAGAGGGTACATGGTCTGGTGAAGAAAACAAAGGGGAACAAGAAAAAAGGGAAGAGGACCGGAGAGGAGGGGGGGGATATATGGATGGAAGATGACAGGAACAGTACTCTTGGAAATACTGCCCTTGCACATTTCGTCGACGAGCTATTAAAAGACAAAAATCTTTAAAATAAATTTATTTCCATTTGTGGTTATCTATTGCGTGTGCTGTCTTCGTGACTAAAAGTACACCTATTCCTAATTCCTTTGCAATTGTGTTATCACGCTTTCTATTGTTAATGCACCGTTGGCCTATTTGTTACGGCCCTTGCGT